AGACAAGTATTGGAGAGCACTGTTGCCCAAAAAAGATAAGCATTGGTGAGCACAGGTTGCCAAAAAACGATAAGCATTGGAGAGCACAGGTTGCCAAAAAAAGATAAGCATTGGAGAACACATGTTGCCAAAAAAATGATAAGCATTGCAGAGCACATAAGTTGCCAAAAAAAGATTGAATTTTGCCAAAAGCAAAAGATTGAAAAACCAATTTACAAAATTATAAAATGAGGACCCAATCATTGTCCGATTTTTATCTGTGAGATGGAATTGGGACGAAGAGAATTTTCAAGTTTCCCTGTAGATACAAGAAAAGAAGTCAAACATGGTGCAACTTATTTTGCCATATCGCAATTGGCAAAATTGAAAGAAGTCATTGAAACTAAGATGATGAAGAAGAGAATATGAAGATTGCAAGGGAAGAAGAAATTTATCAAATGAAGAAGCATATTGAAAGTCTTAAAGCCCTAGTCCCTGCTCAAAAAAAAGAAAATGAGGACCTTCATAAATTCATTCAGGAAATAAAAAAAAAAAAAGAATTCTGCATCAAGGGGGAATGTTGAAAATGTGATGCAAAATGTAAGCGTTGTGGTCCGCATCTTTCTCATCTCTCTCTCTTAATAGATTTGTGGGAAGTTATGAGTTGTGGGTAGTTATTAATTATCTTAGTGGGTAGTTATTAATTATCTTAGTGGGTAGTTATCTAGAAGGAAGTTATAGGTTGTGGGTAGTTAATTAAAGAAGTTGTGTCGCATAGCCTATAGCTTGTTTGTAGGTAGTTTGATCATTATTGTAAAGGCCTATAAATAGGCACAATGTATTGGAATGAATTGCACATGTGTAGCACCTGTAATGCACTAACCCAATAGTAGCTACGCATATTTTAAAGAACAGTGATTTTAGAGCTCTTCAAAAATCCAATATCGTATAGAGCTTTTCTAAAAAATCCAACATGGTATCAAAGCCCAAGCTGCCAAAAGGTTGGGTATTGGAAAGCACCGTTGCCCAAAAAAAGATAAGCATTGGAGAGCAAGAGTTGCCAAAAAAAAGATAAGCATTGGAGAACACAGATTGCCAAAAAAAAGATAAGCATTGGAGGGCACAGGTTGCCAAAAAACGATAAGCATTGGAAAGCACAGGTTGCCAAAAAAAGATAAGCATTGGAGAGCACACAGGTTGCCAAAACGAGATAAGCATTGGAGAGCACAAGTTGCCAAAGAGATAGGCATTGGCGTGGAGATTTGTTACTTGGAAAAGAGATTTAGGACCAGTAGGTCAAAGACAAAACTCAAAGGAAAGGTGATACCATGTTGGATTTTGAAAAGCTCTTATATGCGCAGCTACTCTTGGGTGAAATACACAGTAACAGAAAACTTGGAGACGTAATTCTAAGCTCAAAAGACTCACCACAGGTGCATTCACATGTGTATTATAGGTGCTACACAGGTACAATTCATTCCAATACATAGTGCTTATTTATAGGCCTTTACAACAGTTATCAAACTACCCATAAACGGGCTATAGGCTACGTGACACAACTTCTGTAGATAACTCCCCACAACTTATAACTTCTTATTAGATAACTGCCCACTAAGATAACTCGTAAGTACCCACAACTCATAACTTCCCACAAATCCATTAGAGAGAGATGAGAAAAACACGGACCACAACTCCTACCTTTTGCATCACATTTTCAACATTCCCCCTTGATACAAAATTTCTTTTTTTAAAAAAAAAAAAATTTCCTGAATGAATTTACAAAGGTCTTCATTTCCTTCTTTAGAGTAGAGACCAAGACTTCAAGATTTTCAATATGCTTCTTTATTCGATAAATTTCTTCTTCCCTTGCAATCTTCCTATTATCTTATTCATCATCTTTAATTTCAATAACTCCTTTCATTTTTACCAATTGTGAGATGGCAAAATAAGTGGCACTGTATTAGGCTTCTTTTATCGTATCCATAGGAAAACCTGAAAAATTCCCTTCCTCCGACTTCTATCTCACAAACAAAAATTGGACAATGATCGAGTCATGCTTAGTCTGCTACCCTTTTGGGCAGGCGAACTTTATTCCAAGTATAAACAAGAATATTGGATAAGGTGGTCTTGAGACGAGTGATCCTCCCTCCGAGGGAGAGGAATCTACCTTTCCAAGAGGCTAGATTTCAGGAATTTTTCCACAATGGGATCCCACAAAGCCTTTCTCGAGTTCCCAATGCATAAAGGAAGGCCAAGTACGGTTGTGGCAATGGACCCAGACCAGACCCAGGACCCACTGGTTATACCTGACACAAGTCCGAGTATGGGTCCAAACCTTGGACCCACGGATAGGGTCCAGGTTCCATATATTGGACCCGAAGATTTTCGAATACAAGTCCGGGTACTAGTGGAACCCCCCCCCCCCCGTTTCCATACCCGACCCAGGACCCAAAGTTTCCCACTTGTTTAGAAACCTACCCTTCATTTTTATAGGATACCCTCTCACATTACCTTTCTAAATCCTTGGATGTGAGACTAAAAGATTTTCTCGGCCCACAAAGCAACCACTCTCTCTCTAACCCCTCCCGCCTACAACCCAATAATCTTCACCAACAATAAAGGATGGATCTGAAACTGTCCATGAAATGAAAGTGAGACTGTTTTCAATGATACGTCTGGGGAATCCTTTTAAGCAAGGGAAGGGGGAGCCTTGACCAAAAATTGAATCCATGTGTATGGTTGTGATCAGGTATTAGAGGTATAAAGTGGACCATTTCCAAGAAGGGGCATACAGCATGCACCCAGGTGCAAAAGTGGACCTTTTCGAAGAAGGCAAGAAGTACAAAGTATAAGGAGAGAGAGGTTGTTGTCTATTAAGATTAGTCCCACATCGATGGGAGTAGGAAGAAATAAGTAGGTTGAGATCTATAAATGCAGGGGCATTGGGATGTTTGAGGCAATGACGCACGGCGTATTTCCAAATTCTGTTATTGGATAGTGTTGAGTACGGGTCTCGGGTTGCCCGTCAAGTATGGGTACGGGTACATTTAATTTAGACCCATCGGGTTCAGGTTCGGATCTGGGTCCAGGTACATATAGTCTAGCTCAAGTCCAAGTACAACTAGAACCGACCCATTGCCACCTCTAAGGCCAAGGTACATGGTTGGGAGACGGTATGTGCCACAACCTAGCCTGTTAGCCAGAAGACCCAGCTGATCCTCGTAGACATGCAGCCCCATGAATTTGAATTTAGAGATGTTGATTTTCATGCCAGAAGTCAACTCAAAGCATCTTAGAAACAACCAAACAATGCCCACTTGTGGGATGGTGACGTCACAGAAAAAAAAACGACGTGTTGTCAATGTATTAGAGATGACCAATATCATGTCCGAATCTAGAGGTTTAGAAACTAGAAATGGTGACGCTATGGACAACCTGCAAATCAATCTACCGAAGATTTCTGCCACAATGGCAAATAAGAAGGGGGAAAGGGGATCTCCCTGACGAAGACCACCAAAGGGAGAGAAGAGTTCTTCTGGAGAGCCACTGTAGAGCATAGAGAAAGAGGTGGAAAAAATACGATCCTGGATCCATTTCTTCCAAGTCTGACCAAATCCATTTTGGTGAGAGGATAGACCAATCAACATGGTCGTACGCCTCTTCCTGGTCCAATTTCAAATGAGGTCACGTTTTTTAATTTGGTGTTGTAGTGGAACACTTCATGAGCCACCAGGGTGGCCTCGAGTTATTGTCTGTTGTTAACAAATCCACTCTAATTCTGGGAAATGAGTTGGCCAAGAACAGTCCTAAATCTGGAGGCAAATAATTTAGATAAAACTTTATAGGCGGAATCGAGAAGACTAATGGCTCTGAAAATCTTTAGGTCATCAGCAGTCTCGACTTTTGGGATGAGGACAATTAATGTGGATCATTTCATTGTTGATGATGCGTCTATCACTCTGTGGTAGAATTCGTTAACAAAGGCTAAAATATCAAGGGACAACATTTCCAAGAAATGGGAGAAGAAAGCAATGTGGAAGCCATCAAGGCTAGGAGCCTTGTCTTCGCCAAGCTTGAGATGGCATTAAAAACTTAATTTGCTTAGAAAAGCCTTTCAAGCCATTGGGCAGAACTGGAGTTAAACGTGACCGAGGGCCTACATGGGCAGAGAAGAGGTATCGAAAGGAGACATTAGCACACTCGAGTGCATTGGGCTCGACATAAGTGTTCTGACGGTGTTTTCATTGCAAACCGCCAGCCATTTAATTTTGGGTCTTTATTAGTCGAGGCACAAGTAACATTTCATAGGCTAAGCAACCAACAAATGCACAAGTTGCAACTAGAGCAGATAAAAACTAAAGTATACAACAAATAGGAACCATCACAAAAAAAATGATGAAAAAGAAAATAGTACAAAAGATTGTTCATTATGGGATATATTTAGATTTTAGGAGGCATTAATGATCCCAAGCATTAGAAATATTTCAACAACAAATACCTCTAAAACTCATGTAAAATTAAACAGTTGATCCTAATAATGGAGTTCAAACAGTTTCCTTCGAATCAAACCATGAGCACAATTCCTTGTAACGGTAAGTCCAACGATGAAAGTCATATTCTTGAGCATGTCAGAGATAAATTAAAATGCATTCTTAAAATAGCATTCAAGTAACATAAGGCAGTCAAAACAAAATAAAACCGCAGGCCCGATATAAAGCCCAAAAAATGCATCAAAAATCCATGGCATTGCAACTTATGCTAAACAAGATGTCCATTTGGATTGAAAGCAAAAAATCACTTCCATATGAATATATTCAGTCATTCCATTATTCCATATAGCAATTAGCATCTTGCAATCCCTCATTAAAAAAATCTGATTTTCTCTATTCTTTATTGAAGCAGACTTCATTAAATTTCACAAACTAAGCTAATGAAAACATTTTACATGAGCCAAGTAATAACTTTAAAAACCAAATACAAGAAAAACAATTCAAAAGTAAAAGACAGCAATTACTACTTACAAGCTGGGCCCATTCTCATCATGGCCGGCAATTAAAAGGGATACGCCAAAAGGTCGGGACTGAAAAAATAGAAGTTAAAATTCCATCAGAGTGCAGGAATAGATGTGCGCACTAGTATCAAGTATACAAAGTACAAAAGTAAGACCATGATAGACATGTATAACTAATATTTATAGCAATAGATCCTAGAAATCGGTCGAAAACTTTCAAATCATACGAAAGCAATGGCACACGAAGATTGCAAGCTTCATAGCTCCTTTATATCCTTGACTTGATTATTTAAGCATACACAGTATAATCAAAAACAACATGTTCCAATCCGCAACCACAGCACATAAGAAAAATCAGAAACAAACCAAGTCGAACATTCACAGCATACAAGAGTTCACAGGAGCAACAACCTTTAACTCAAGGAGGTAGGGAATATCAGATTCAGGAAAACTCCACGAAGATTCAGGCATTTATCCTTTGGTTAAGTGGTTAAGTGCTTAAGATGTTTATTTTTTGAACAAAGGTGGTTAAGCGCTTAAGATGTTTCTCAATCAAGTCAAAGAAAAAACAAATATGAGATAATATAGTGGTAACCGGCACATATAGACTCCCCTTAAGGTAGGAGTGCTCTCCATTTTTAAGATAGTTGTTAGGAGAATTGCAGATAGCCCCCACCCCCCCCCCCCCCCCCCCCAATGTGGACTTTCTAGACAGCATCCCCCCAACCAATCTTTTTATCGCAACTTTTACCCCAAAACAAGCTTTTCTAGCAAATACCCCTTGTCAAAAAATCATAATTTTTAGGACCAAAATGCCCTTTCTTCTAACACCCACAACTTAACTTTTCCCATAACACACACCAAAAGGCGGTCCGGCAATGTAAACAAGCAGTTCGGCAATATCCCAAAGCGGTCTGGCACTGCCAAAGAGCGGTCCAGCAATACACCCATGCGGTCCAGCACTGCCAAAGGGCGGTCCGACAATAGGTCCATGCAATCTGGCAACAGGCGCGTGCGGTCCGGCAATAGGCCCAAAGTGTCGTCTGGCAATGTCCCCATTCGATCCAGCAATTATTGTGTGACAATGTGCACTCAGTCCGGTATGTGCACTCGATCTGGCATTCTTTCTAGTCGTTGAGCATCCTATGGGGATGTGATGGGCCATTTTTGTCAAAAAAACGATGACTTTTTGACTGGGGGGGGGGGGACGAGATTTGCTAGAAAAGTTTGTTTTGGGGTAAAAATTGCGATAAAAAGATTGGTTGGGGGGGACGTTGTCTAGAAAGTCCAAGTTGGGGGGATATTTGCAATTTTCCCTAGTTATTCTAGAATCATGTCGCTGGTCTTTAGCAAAACAGATCTACAGCCCAAAGACAACTTAGATGAATTATGGGAGTAAACCATCATCCACAAGACTGCAACATTTTATGCTTTTTTGCAACTATGAAATTAAGTTTATCATGTAAATATCAGTCAAATGACTCCAGATCCAAAGCACCCTTTTTCCATTCAAAAAAGATCCAATTAGCAAATCCAAATTATGCAAAGGAAGCCATTCACTCAGTGAATTACCCAACTAGATGCAGATAGGAATCATAATGAAATGACATTCCAATTTCTCAAAAAAAAAAAAAGATGCTCCAATTGGCACAGAACCCCACAAAAGTGCAAGTGTGCAACCATATAGAATGAGGGGAAGTACTAGCCGTTATCGCCAACCAAATGTGATGCCAGTTACATAGGGGAACAAGGGAAAGGATTCCAACAACTTCACATGTGCGAGGCTATGAGAAATGATAGTTTTCTTTATGCCCTTAACTAGAAAGGTAATACTTGCCAAAAACTAAAACTAGACGGATAACAATCTGCTTGATATGCATAAAAAAACAGCATCAAATAGCCACCAACCTTAAAGGACAGCATGACTTGAACTTGAATCTAAATGGTAGCCAGTTTTGAAAAGTGTAAACATAAAATAAGAAGCCAGGCATGCATTCATCGATCAGTTATGAGCATAATTCTAGGCGCATCACGCCATATGAAACAATTCTCAGGAAATTCCATGGCCCCATTATTCTAGTTTCTACTTAAATTAAAAGTGATAAATCTCCAGAAATAATTCTATACATAGATATGTACTGTATATAAGAGAGAATACCATGGCATTGGATTGCATACTATTATAGGTTTCTACGTTTAGCCCACATTACTTGGGAATGGCATGTTCCTTGCATATATGTACATAGATAGGAGCCATGAGCTAGATTGATCTCACTAATGAGTCTAATTAATCTAATCTGGTTGTACCTCATTGGGAGTTCAATTACACAATATGTGCCAGTTCTCTGATTATAAATATGGTTGATACCTATTATAATTGTTATGATGCAAACATGCTTCCCACAATATAACAACAAGGCTTCATGATAGTAAAAATTAAAGCTGCGCTAATTAAATTCCTTATCAAATTCGAAGATACATGAAATTGAAAAATTCAAAATATTGAGGCAATTTGAAAATATATTCACTTGGAAATATTTTTAATGTCAAATAGCACATCCAATCACCTTGTTTCTACTCCCTGGAGACATTAAATTGCACAGGGAAGAGTAGTTAAATAGAAAGACTAGATCGTAAAACATTTTTCTTTTTTCTTTTTCGTTTTTTTTTTTTTCTTTTTACATTCAAAGAGCTTAATAAAGTTTAACCTCAAGATGGCTATGACAGCAATAGGAGGAGGAATTGGCATTGAGAAACTCCATACCAATCTCTGAACTCTTGTCCTACTGTATGTTTTTATTCTCAGCAATACTTGACCATCATGTATGTGTGATGTAAGACATGCTCATATACCACTGAAGGAATTATTTAAAGAAAGCACTAACAAGAACAACAACGGGATTAAATCACCAGTAAATAAAAATAAGAAGCCAATACTTGGTATATAACTCAAAATATGCATAGTAACCTAAAAATAGGAACATTTATCTTCTAATGGTATATTTTAGAATCTCAAATTGGGAGAAACGACATGTTTTTTCTAATTGCAAATATTAGAACATGTGATTACATACATATGTATGTGTATAAAAAGAACAGTTGAAGAAAATTCTAGGCAACATGTCAATGACAAAAGCAAAGTTGGTCAGTACTCAATAAATATCAAAGATTACCATAGATTCTTCATCCCCTTCACCAAATCGCAGTGCAAGATCACATAGAGCTTGGGTAGTTGATTCAACGGTCATTGGTTCACCATATGAGAACCGGTGATTCTGTAATAGAGGCATTCCATATTCGTTAAATAGTCCATAAAGTGAGATTAATATGAGTAACAGCAACTACATAGAGTACCTGAGTTTCAACGCGTGCATGCTCAACAAGAGTGCGGGCATCAGCAATCAGACCACTCATTGCACATCCTATGTGCTCATCAATCTCCATAATTTTTTCAACACTGCTTGGTTCCTGTGAAAAGGGGAAAAGACAACTTGAAAATACATATTACTGCTATCTACAAGGAGTACAAGGAAAAGCACACAATTTAACTTAAGGGCAAGCTTTCTATGCTCCCCCACAACATAAAACTTATATACATCCCCTTATCCAACCGTCCACCCTGAATGGAGGGCTAAGATTGCCTCAATCACAATGTCACGTCTCTATACTATTTTATTTTTAACTTTTTTTATAAACTATTTTGACACCAAATTTTGTACGTCCAATCCTCTATTAAACTCGCACTAGTGAAAATATATAAAAAAAATACTTTCAATAAAATAAAATGACCAAAATACCCCTGAAAGTTTCAAGGGATATTTTGGTCATTATATTTTATCAAAAAAATATTTTTAATATTTTTTATAGGGCGTCCCAATGAGAAGATGGCACGTACCAAATTTCATATTCATACAATTTGTATAAAAAAAAACTAAAAATAAAATACTTTGAGACGTCGGATCTAAGATCAAACGTTGAGTGGCTCTCTTGATCAAAATTGAACGGCTGGATGGTAGGGAAAGCATAGATCTTCTATGTTGTAGGGGAAGTATAGAAACCTTTCCCTTAACTTAAAATAAACAAGAACCTACTAAACTCTAGGAAAACCACATCCACATAGGCAACACTTTGGTATGGCCAGTTTGCTAGATGAGAGGAATGGTATTCCAGTAGCACAAAAAGAGGGATTAGCAAGTAAAGAAGTTGTTATTGTGGGAATGATCCAAACATTAGAAAATTATTTAAAATAGTAAAGTCAACTGATATAAAATTTAAATTCTCACTGATGTATGAGAAATATAACGCATAATACTGACTTTTTTTTTATAATGAACAAGAAGGGATTTGAGATTTTTGTACAGGGCCCCTGTGCCTCAAGGTGTCTTTACCCTAAATGAAATATATAACCACCTCCTTGACTTCACAATGAAAGAATTGTATGGCCTTTCTCTAGTATGCGGATGACCTTTAATAATGAAAATTATTAACCCATATAGCAGAAAAGCAATCCACTTCAACACATAGAACAATAATTGTGGTACACTGAAGAATTGGAAGGATGGTTGCGCCAATGACTTCCCTGTTGCAGTTGTCAAATGCAACACAACTTGAACTCAATTCTCAGAGAAGAGAATAAAACTAGATGCATGCACTAGATTGAGGCAAATGATTGCAAGATTGAATAACCATTCTCATGATTAAGTTGAACTGGTTGTTGATTCAAGTACACACTTCTATTCAATTAAAAGCACTTTCATAACATGGATTTTTTTAGGAATCCAATGTTCTCTCCAAGTAAAGAGGGTTATCATCATCATCATCATTTTAGCCTTTTCCCAATTAATTGGGGTCGGCTACATGAATCTTAGTTTGTCATTCTCCTCTATTAAAGGTTATATAGTCAGTAAGGCCATAAGTCCCCATATCTTTTTGAACTACTTCCAACCACGTCCTTTTTGGCCTACCCCTTGCCCTTTTTAGTCCTTCCACTTGAACTAACTTACACCTCCTAACAAGTGATGTACTTGGTTGGTGTCACACATGACCAGCCTACCTAAGTCTACTCTCTCTCATTTGATCGCCTATTGGTGCCATACCTAAATTCTCTCGAATAGATTCATTTCAAATTTTATCCCTACTTGTCTTGTCACTCATCCATCTCAACATCCTCATCTCTGCTACACTCATTCTATGGGTATATTATTTTTTATCCGCCCAATAGAACAAATCTGGTCTCACCGCGATCCTATAGAATTTGCCCTTCAGCCTCATTGGTACGCGGCGATCACTCCAAGTAAAAAGGGTAAAGACACAAAATCATATCGATATCAAGGAGTCAAGCAATAAAACCCATTACAAGTCCACAAGTAGCAAAATAAGCAAATGAAATATTCAATGCAGTATCCCTATACATGACTTTGTGAAGAGTTGTTCAATTTAATATTCACTTCAATTCAAATTAAACTATTTTACCAGAATTATAGTAGCAGATAACTCATCCACGGTCCACTCTTAAAAGAAAAAAAAAATCACAAAAAAATATTGTATCTAACATAAACAGATGGAGAACTAAAGCCGGTTTTATGTGACAGCATGGAAGTACCCAATCAAATTGGAAGGGGGGGGGGTGGGGGGAGGGAAGGGAGGGCGAAGAAACTCACCAATAATGGAGAGGTGATGCGCTTCTCTACTGCTAATACAACACCCTCCTTTGTCTTCAACCCAATAGCCGTCGAACCTAACTGCATATTGAAATATACATACATAAACAATTAAATAAATATAAATAAAGAAAACAACAAACCAAAGTAGCAACTGACAAGCGTGATCAAATCTACCTTGATGGCTTCAATGGCATATTCAACTTGAAATAATCTACCTTCTGGGGAGAAGGTGTTGACACCTCTATCGTACTCAGTCCTGAAAATTATGCCCAAAACAAAATAAAAAACAAAAAATAAAATTAAAAAATAAGTTCTAAGTAAATTAACTACTGTTCCTATGATTCAATTGTATCCATCATAAGTGAGTAAAGATAGTGACCTTCACCAAAACCCCTACAAAAACAGAAGTCGCTTTATAAAGTTCAGGAAAAATATAAAATAACCAGAGATAGGGTTAGAGAAAATAAGGAGATGGAGGATAATATAGAGAGAGATGACTTGCCTGGTAAGAAACATATTGCCTTCTCTTAGACCCGAAAAACCACGGATTTCGGCTCACAGATCTCTGCAAAAGATCAAGCACGCAATAACATTTCATTCCAGTTCAAAAAACATGACATCGAGTAAAGCAAACAGGGAAACAAGCAATCGGAAGTAAATGAAGATCTGAAAATAAAAGAATAGGTGAAGATACAGAGAAACCAGAATGCGTGCCTACCGATAAGAGATGTAATGAATAGAAAGAATGGATTGTAATGAAAATAACTTAGAAAGAGAGGGAGAGAGATTTACTTGTGATTCAAGCAAAGAGGAGAGTGTTTTTTTCTCGCCTGTTAGACAGAGAAAAAGGGCTTTTCTTTTTCTCGCTTGTTGGTAAGAGAAAAGGCCCTTTCTACGTTTTGAGACTTGAAGAAGGGAGAGAGAGTTTGAAGACTTGAAGAACGGGACCGGGGTTTTACTTTCACGCGTAGGTTAAAAGGAAAAAGTTTATATATGGATGCAACGTTGTAATGTAGAACTACATATGCCCTAAACAATCCATCGGAAAGGATAGTTTTAATGTTGAAAAATTGTTTGATTATCGAGATGTCGAGATGTATGATTATGAAAAATTAAATGATTGTCTCTCCATTTTACAACATATTATCTACACCATTTATTTTCAAGATTTTTTTATGTTTATAGATCTATTTGATTTTAACTAGTTTTTATATTTAAAATTTTATAATTAAATATAAAAATAGGTTTTGAGATAATCCTAATAACATTTTACATCAAAATTATATACCATGATAAAATTTGAAGGTGCACCTTACCTCTACACCTACGGATGCATCTGATGCCAGCTGCACCCAAAAAAAAAAAAGGAATAATAAAGTTTCATCTCGAAAGCTTGTTTGGAAAATAATTCAGGTATAAAAAATTGTTTCTATAAACCCAAGGGTTTATGAAAACAAAATAAAGTCTTATCTCAAATTTTTGTCTGAAAAGCATATTCGGCAACAGAAATTGCTTTAAAATCAATTTTCAACACCGATAATAAATTTTGAAACTCAAAGAATATTACAGATCTTACGGATCTTTGAACACTCCTTTTTAGGGCAAAATAAACAGTCTAGATAATTTGTTACAATATATAGTATTTTTAGAATTTGAAATCCTAATTGTTTTTTACAACCACAATATTCAATCTAAGATAATCAATTTAAAGGTTTTTGAATACTTGAATTGCAATTTTCGATGAATTATGAGGTGAGGTTTTAGTTATTATGATAGGGCTGCAGCCCTATCAAACCATTTTCCATAAAAAAATAGGTTGTGGTTTGTATAAGGCCGATGCCCTAAACAATCAAAGTAAGGCGCACATTCAAATAGTGTCGGACGATGTCGTTTCAGTACTATAAAATTTTATAATGGCCTGAATCACCTCTAATTATAAAATTTAAAGCTTCAAAAATAGTGTAGATCTATCATAATTATGAACACTTGAAAATTGATTGTCCAAAATTGCATTACAATATGCATTATTTTCAATACTTGAAATCTATTTTTTCTTATGTTAATATATCTTAAAGTTGAAATGATCGATGTGAGGATTTTTGGGTATTGAAAGACCCCCTTCTAGCGAATTTATGAGGCACACCTTAATTTGATTGTTTAGGGCCTCACCTTTATAAGAATATCTAACATGGCTCTAAAATCTACTTGATTATAAAAAATTTAGCTCAAAAAAGGGTATAGAACTTGTGGATCTATGAACATAGATAGTCTAGATAATATATTACAATAGACACTATTTTTAGAGATCTAAATTCTAATGTTTTCGCATCCACAACGACAATATGATTGTTTTAAAGGCTTTCCAACACTTTTTTTTTTTTTTGACAATGTTACTTATGCTTTATTAATCAATCAAAGGTTACAACCAGCCAGAAAGGAAAAACATCTGAAATAACTACCTGATGCAAAGAACCCCCTCGTTTTGTCAAGCCGTTAACAATGTCATTAGCTTCCCTATACACATATTGAAAACATATTTGTAGATCATTGCACATATCCATAGTATCTAGTTGTTTCCTCCTCAACCTCCAAGACGGCCTGGACATCTTTTTACGCCAATTAATCACATTCAATGAATCTCCCTCCACAAAACATGGCATCCTGATGTTTTTCTACTGTAGAAGCCAAATTCCACATTCCAATGTAGCCAATTCCACCTCATTAGCCATTGCCTCCCCACATGATCCAACAAAACAAAATAACACCTCTCCATCAGCACCACGCAAAATTCCTCCAAACCTATAACGGTTTGGATTTCCTAAGAGCTCTCACCAAATTAAGTTTGATACTCATGATAACATGAGGGGTCCATCTGCCTTTTGGTTTGACCTTTGACACATTATGAAGCATCAAGTTATGCGGATTAATCTCCACATCCACTTTGGTTACTCCAAACCCTTCATTTGTTATAGAGAACCAACTCCACACCGATTGCAGGATTTTTATTTTGACCAAATCTACTTCCAAAGCTATGTTATCAAAAGTCATCCTATTACGCTCTATCTATATCTCCCATATAACAGTTGCTTTTACCATCTCCCAAATTATTTTGCCCACCTTTGGTAAGGAATCCAACTCTATATTACTCAAAATATTCATATGACTGCTCGGCATTATTACCATATGTCCAATTATTTGAAAGGCCCAACACCAACTATGAGAAGAGAAAGGATAATGAAGGAAAAGATGGTCCCCATTTTTATCATTATCCTTACATAGAATGCATACATTCATTAAAACCGTCCCCCTTTTTATAACATTGTCAACAGTGAGCGATTTACCTTGGAAAATAATCTACAAGAATATTTGAATTTTGAAATAGACATTCCAGCACCAAATTCTCTTTAACAACAACTTACTCCACCGGATCATGTCATGGAACAACATATTGTATGCTGATTTAACTGAAAAAATGCCAGTCTTTTTCAGCGTCCCATACCAACTCATATTTACTCTCCTTGTGAGGCCTAAAATCAGTGATATCCCTAAGCAATGTAGAATATAGCGAATCAGGTACCATGTTGTACCTGCAATTAATAGACCAATCGTTTGTCTCCCTATCAAAAGACTGCGACACCAAAATATTTTGCTGATTTGTTGCCCCAAACACTAACGGATATACCAATTTCAAGCTGCAATCCCCAACTCACTTGCAATGCCAAAAAGATATCTTCCCCCGCTTCACCCAAAATCCACTTGCATCCACCAATAAAGAAAAACCTATTTTGGAGAATACCCTTCCAAATCGGTGACTTAAAATTATCCCTTCCCCCATTACCTCTCTATAAATTATGTTTATCCACCTCATACTTGGCTTGTAAAATATATTTTCAAAATATCCCATCTTCACTCATTAATTTCCACCACCATTTAGTGAGCAAGGCCTGATTCATATATTTCACTTTTCTAATTCTCAATCCTCACTATTTTTTTTAGGCTACTTTCTTCAGTTTTAATTATTCTTTTTAAAATACCCTAGTTTCACGGACTCGGTGATTTGCTAATCCGTGATGTCATACATGCGATTCACTATAGCAATATGGCCGGATCCCATTTTATTTGCAGGTCCGAAATAGCCATGACGATAACCGATCCGTATCGGACATATCCAAATCTCTTGAAAACATGATGCAAGTTTGCATACAAAACAAACAAGCCCTAATCCAGATGTCAGTCCAAGCTTACACGGGAAGTGTCATGCGCACATGTCTTCTGGCGCCATCACAGTCCATTTTGAAAAAAAATTGAATCTCTCTGTCAGCTCTAACCCGCCCACATATCATATCACATCATCTTATAAAGTGCAGTGTAAACACAGAGGAGCACTCGCTGTCTGAAATCGTGTCGTGTGTTTATTTCCTGAGGATTTTGCGAAGAAAGGGTCTCTTGTTGTTGATGGCAGCGATGGAGCAAATGCATCAGAAGCAGCAGAAGTTCGCTGAGCAACAAGCAGATGAAACAGAAGACATGCAGCATGGCCCTTTCCCCATTGAACAGCTCCAGGTGCCCCCCCTCTGTCATCTTTCTCTCTCACTCTCTCTCTCCCCCATTTTTTGTTTTCAATTTTACAGTAATGGGTTTTGACCCAAGCTGAAGTATGTCATCTGGGTCATTCCCAAATTCCCAAACGCTTGAAAATTCCTTCTCTCTCTCTCTCTCTCTCTCTCTCTATTAACAATGGGTTTTGACCTAGAGTCCAGTATTCCTATCTGTCTTCTCTACTATTCCTAAATGTTGGTACCAACTTTCCCTAAAACTCTCTCTCTCTCTCTCTCTCTATATCTCTCAGCCCTTCTTGTGTTTCATTTCTTCAAATTCAAGAGTTGGGTTTCGAATTAATTCAAGTATTTGATGTGGATCATTATTACATTCCAAATACTGGAGTATTCGTGTCCCAAAATTCTCTGTTTGTCTCTTTCCCTCTCTCTCTCTCTCTCTACGCTTTCTTTCTTTTTCATTTCTTTAAATTCACGAGTTGGGTCTGACACAGGTTCCGTTATTTGATCTGAGTCATTCTCACATTTCCAAATACTGGACTAATCTTGATGTAAAGCTTGCTCTTTCTCTTTCTACTTCATTTATTTATATTTAAGAATTGGGTTTTGCCAGATTCAAGTATTTGATGTGGATTTCTCTTACATTCTCAAATACTGGACTAATCTTGACCTATATCTCTACCTCTCTCTCTAATTTCTTCATTTTCAAGAATTGGGGTTAGCTCTAGATCCAGTACTTGGCATGTGTTTTCCCTACACTTTCAAGCACTTATTTCCAAAAATTATATTAACAAAGGCAACCCATTTTATTGCAGTTTTCATTTTTCTAGTGAGATGAATGGATTCCATAAATTTCAAGTGGGACTGATACGCTTCAACTTTTCCCCATTTGGCACTTGGGTTTCTTTTAATTTTGGATTTTTAAGATTGTTTTTTCTCCATCATACAGGAATGCTCAAACATACATTTTCCTCAATTCTCTGGGAGTTTCTGGTTCTACTTATGCGATACTCATGTCTTATATGTTAATTATTAGGCTGAGAATGCTTGCGTGTAACAGAGAGAAGATGTCTTGGTTTGTGTATGTACGAACTTATATTAAGTCATGCTTATTCATTTGAACCTGTTTGTTCCTTCCCATGGATGAGCATGTGCGCTGTGCATCCTGCTCACATGTTGTAGGCTTTCCCCCATTATGATACTTTAAGACCTTTTTATCTCTTACAGTATCAATTTTTGTTTGGAAAATTATAAACTTTTACCCAAAACAATATAGCCAATTTTTGTCTACACCACACTCCATGGAATTTGAGATGCTTAAAATTAAATACATATTCTTTTTTTTTTTTTCGATGTTTTTTACTTTTGGATGACCTTACCTTGGGGTTCACGGGTCTGGTCTTATTTTCATTGAATTATGGCACTTTAAGTTGGTTAATCCGCAGATAAATTTGCATTATTATTTTTATGATTCAAAGTTTGCCACTTGTTCTCTGTATCTAACTAATTTTTCCTTCTCTTGTCATGTTCAAGGCATCTGGGATTGCTTCTTTGGATGTGAAAAAGCTTAAGGATGCTGGTTTATGCACAGTGGAATCTGTGGCTTACTCTCCCAGGAAGGATCTTCTGCAGATTAAAGGAATCAGTGATGCAAAAGTTGATAAGATTATTGAAGCAGGCATGTTCTTGTTGCTGGTGTACTTGTAATTTACGACGTTATTTTTATGATTTGTCACTGTTATTTATTTCTTTTTTTGTTTAAAATTGATTTTGATAGCTTCAAAGCTTGTTCCATTGGGTTTCACTAGTGCCAGCCAACTCCATGCACAACGGCTTGAGATCATTCAAATAACTTCAGGATCAAGAGAACTTGATAAGATCTTAGAGGGTGAGTCAGAAAATTTATTTAGATCATGTGAGCCTTCAAACAAATTCAGATATAGCACTAGACAGTTTGTTTTTTTTATATAAATTACTCGAATGTAATGGGCTCTTGGGCAGGAGGCATTGAAACTGGATCTATAACTGAAATTTATGGTGAATTTCGCTCTGGAAAGACACAGTTGTGCCACACATTATGTGTTACTTGTCAGGTAAGTACAAACGAGGTGACCACATCTTCGTTTCTAGAGTGCTTGTATGATTCTCATAGATTACATATAAGCTATCAGAATAGAATTTTGTATTTTAAGGTGGCTTCTTCTTTTTCAGTTTTTTTTTATTAGCTTCTTTGTTTTCTTTTATATTGAATGACAAAACCCCTAAAATCTAGACTCTTTAAGAGTTCGGGATGAAGAACACTATGCCAATTTGCTATGAACCTCCCCATCTTTCTCTGTTCCTATCCCTCCCTCTCTACCTCTATTTTTTTGTTGACATGATTCCATTCATAAATCTTTAGATGGAGTGATGTAGTCTCACTCCATTAAACCTTTTCCTCACTTTGATATCAACTTCTCAGCTTCCTTTGGATCAAGGAGGTGGCGAAGGGAAAGCCATGTATATTGATGCAGAGGGAACTTTCAGGCCACAGAGATTGCTACAAATAGCAGAGAGGTTTGATGACCATGCATTTAAAGCCAAAGAATCCTGAGCATTAAGCCACCAGTACTTCTGATGATATATGCTTTTACAATTGCAGGTTTGGTTTGAATGGTGCTGATGTATTGGAGAATGTTGCTTATGCTAGAGCCTATAATACTGATCATCAATCAAGGCTTTTGCTGGAAGCGGCTTCAATGATGGTTGAGGCCAGGTGAAAATTCACCATCTTGTTGTATCCATAACTCGTTTTCAACACGTGCTGATTTACCTTTCCTTCTCTCTATATATTTAAACCACTCACCATTTCGGTAAAAATGATATTTGAGGGTTCTTTTTTGATTGGCAGTTATTGTATATCACATTTTTCTTTTTGACATGTTAACGGGTAAAGTTGTGATCTGTTTTCTCGTTCATTTTTTTTTTGTTATTAATGTAATTAGATTAATGCTGAGAAATGTATGGCATAACTGGCTGGATACAAATTTGCAAGGACTGAAATTGTCCATTCAATTTTCATCTCCAAGTAGGTGTTTTGGATGAGAGGGCTTGATTGTTCCTTTCCTATATCTTTTATTGTTGCCTGGTATGCATGAAAAACAAGAGCTAATCACTGTCATTACAATGCTGTTCAAGTTAAATTTGGCTTGGATGAGACCAAAATGTCAGTTGATATTTGTGTGCTGCCAAAAAGTCGATATTTATTCTATCTAAAGCAATATAAAGCAGTCAGCTCAGAATGTTCAAAATGTTGGAGATAGTCTAATACATGAAAAATTACTTGAAATTTAAGTTGAAATTGCCAAAAATTTGGGCTGGAAGTTTAATATCAAGGGTATTTAGAATCTGCCAATATTTTGAAGCATTTGCTAAATTTGAGCCTTTCCTTTAAATGATATTGTTATAAATAATCTGCCAATATTTTGAAGCATTCACTGAATTTGGGCCTTTCCTTTAAATGATATTGTTATAAATAATCTTTATGCATGTACTTCTGTGTTATTGAATATACTGTTATATGTCCTTTATGTGTTTCTTAACATACTGTTATACATTAAACAGGTTTGCTCTTATGATAGTGGACAGTGCTACTGCTCTATACAGAACAGATTTCTCAGGTAGGGGGGAGCTGTCAGCCAGGCAGATGCATCTTGCAAAGTTTCTCAGGAGCCTTCAAAAGTTGGCAGACGAGGTAACCTTAAATTTGTTTTATAGCCTTTTCTTTTGATCAATAATTATGTTTTATAACCTTGCAGGCCAATTTCTTCTGTCATAAGATTAGAGGAAAACCTTAAGATGCTATCAAGCTTTCATTTATACAAATTTTGCTCTGAATTTCCAATAAAACAGTGAATTTCCTCTGTACTTGTAGAGTATATAGATAAGTTAGGTCAAGAACAGGAAACATAAAGTACATTATATTTGAATCGATGTGGAAAAACCATATATCATGGGATATCAGTGTCCAAGGAAATGATGGATGGGGATGGAGTGTAGGACTATCATTGCGATAAGTCCTCTACCGATGGGTTGCATTCTTTCTCAATAACCATCCATCATTTCACTGGATGGTGAAGTCCATTGGCCAACCTTTTTTTAAAGTGTCCACTGGATTATAATATAATCTTCCTACAAGATAAACTAAGAGAGTTTTTTTTTTTTTTAAGTTTACTTTTCACCAAAATAGTCTTCCATCCATCTTAATATAATTTTGTATAATGTAGTTTGGTGTAGCTGTGGTGCTTACCAATCAAGTTGTTGCACAAGTGGACGGGTCTGCTATGTTCGCTGGGCCACAAATAAAGCCTATTGGTGGGAATATAATGGCACATGCTTCTACCACCAGGTATTGTCTTTGTCTGATATGCATTTTTCTGGGTTCCAGAGCCAATGCTGATTGTAATTTTCACTTCTTCCTAATCCTTCCTCAGTTGCCTTTTCTTGTTTGTTACCTTTGTCTTGATTTATTGTTACATGACTCAGCAGCTTCTTCAACTATCAATCTCACTGAAAAACTCAGGATGATGGTTTTATGTTTTCACACTTGCATGACTGATGGTTAGGAGAGAGAGAGAGAGAGAGAGAGAGAGAGAGAGTAGTTAGTTATTACTTATTACGTTAGGTTACGTTACCGTACGTACGTCTTCCTTACCTTTTACTTTTTTAGTTTTTGTTTAGTTTACTTTACTACGTAGTAGTTTACTT